CAGAAAGGTGAGTGTCATCCGCTGGATAGTCATTACCAGCAGAGACTATGCCATTGTGCTCATCGTCAGATGAGGTATCTGTGTCAGTGCCAGATTCAAACGGTGAGGGTGGCTGAGACCCTTGAGCGGATGACTCCGCTTGGCCCCAGAGGGTTGTGCCCGAGGGCGGGCTTGCAGTGTAGGCGGCGCCTGGCGAGTAGTTCGACCAGGCGTTCGCCTCAGCTGCCTCTGCCGATGCCTGGCCGGTCTGCCCTAAGAAGGCAGTGGCCTCGTTGGGCATATCGGCTGGGTCAGCCCAGGGACTTGGCTCGCCAGGACCAGCGGGTGACCCCGCAGTCGTGGCGTAGACACCTGCATGTGAGTGGTGCCCTGTGAAGATACCCGCAATGTTGCCAGGAGAGCGCTCGGCAACATGTCCGTAGTTCCTCATCCTGGTCAGCAGCCTGTCATAGTCTGCTTGTGTTCTGGGCATCTGATGATTAAAGGGCTCCAGCAGGTGTTGGGCTCGTGACGCGCCAACGCCTAACGCTCTGAAAAGGATCAGCGTTAGGATCTGAAAGTTGGGGATGACAAAGCCAACAGAGTTAGCCTCGTCACGGGCCATCTCGAATCGAGCTAACACTGAGTCGATTCGCTCGCCCCTTTCGACGCGAAAGTCGATAAGGGCAGTGCCAGAGTTGAGCTGGCGCTCATCTTCCAGATTTTCAAATTTGGTGCTCAATAGGTACAGTATATAAGTAACTGCATCCGTTGGCTGTCCATTGACAGTTACACCATAATTGATGATCTGGGAGGGGACCTGCATGGCGATACGACGAGCAAGACCTTGAAGGCCTCGTTGTAGTGCTGCAGCTTGTTGAGGTGGCGTCATATTGCCGCTCGTTACGTTTATCCATGCATGTACTTCGCGAACGTATTCGCGAAAAGGCGTAGTACCGGCAGGGTCCCATGAAGGGCCGGTAGTACGCGTGTCGTCCATCCCCTGCCGCATGTATCCCACAGCACATCCCATTATTACCCACAGAATGCCGAAGATAGTTATCTTAATCCAGTGCATGTGCATTTCGGCTTCGGTGATTGGTTTAGGCTGTGGTTTGTCAGGCTCTGGCGTAGTAGCCGTGAGGCGCCTGACTGGCACGGGATGCAGGTGGCCCCGCTGCGGGTAGCCCCGCAGGGTGACCACGTTCTCGATCGAGTTGCCGATTGGCATCTGGTGGAAGTCGGGAGTGAAGTAGCGCAGTGAAGTAGGAGAGAGCGTCTCGAGTTCGCGGGTTGCCCCGCTAGCTCGATCGCGGACTGGCTCCGCTCCTCGCAGAGCCGGCGCAACATGGTATTCCACCGTAGTAGTAGTCCACCAAGTTGTGCCGTGGATTACAGGAATCAGAGCGAAAGCCAGCCACACGAGAGTGTAGCCAGCTCCGCTACCAAGTCGAAAACGTGCTGGTAAGCTTAGGTATGTGTTACGCTTCAAGCGTTGCCATATCCCAGGCTTTGGCTCATATCGCATGAGCAAGAGAGCGAGACGAAGCATGGGATCTGGAGTAAAGGATAGAAGGGGCATCTTCAATGGAAAAGGTATTTTCCGATCTCAGATACCAGTCGTGCGCCTCGGTGAGGCACAGTCATATATTTGGCCGGGCCCGGCTTGAGCCAGGCACGGCAGCGGTACATGCTCGATTTATACCTCGCCTTTAACCTTCTCCGTTTAAAGTCTCAACCCCCCTTCTTCCCCTTCGGGGAGGGGTTTACCCCTCCCCCTACCCCCTCCCCCTGGGCCTGGAGAGGGCGTTTCGCGGGTCGTTGGAGGGGTCTTTTACGACTCCTGGGAGGGCTAAAATCCGACACCCCTCACGAGGATTCTGGCCCCGACGGGGGGAGGGAGAAAAGTGCTCGCCCCATCTGTGATCGATCGCCCGACAGATGGCCCCAAGATTCCTCCCAGACCCCTCCCAAAGAGCCCCAAGAGGCCCCAAGAGGCCTCCAAGAGGCCCCCAAGATGCCCCCAAGAGGCCCCCAAGAGGCCCCAAGAGGCTCCCCCGAGGCACCCAAGACGCTCCTGGAAGCCCCTGGAGCCGCCAAGAGGCCCCCAAGACGCCCCAAACGGCCTCCAAGAGGCTCCCAAGAGGCCCGAAGAGGCTCCCCCAAGGCACCCAAGACGCTCCTAGAAGCCCCTGGGGCCGCCAAGAGGCCCCGAAGACGCCCCAAAAGGCCTCCAAGAGGCTCCCAAAGACATCTACTACTACTACTACTACTACTACTACTACTACTACTACTACTACTACTACTACGACTACTACTACTACTACTACTACTACTCTACTACTACTACTACTACTACTACTACTACTACATCATCTGCTACTACTACTACACTACTACTACTACTACTACTACTACTACTACTACTACTACGACTACGACTACTACTACTACTACTACTGCTACTAACTCCTGCTACTACTATACTACGACTACGACTACGACTACGACTACGACTACTACGACTACTACTACTACTACTACTACTACTGCTACTACTACTACTACTACTACTATACTACTACTACTACTACTACTACTACTACTACTACTACTACTACTACTACTACTACTACTACTACTACTACTACTACAGCTACTACTACTAGTACTACCACTACCACTGCTACTAGTACTACTGCTACTATTACTACTGGGACTACTACTACTGCTGTTGCTATTAGTACTAAGACTACTACTTCTACTTTTACTACTATTCTATTACTGCTACTACCACGACTACTACCACTACTACTACTAAGACTACCATCACGACTACTGCTACTACTACTACTACTACTACTACTTCTAAACCTAGTACTACTACTTCTACTCATGGTGCTACGGCCACTACTACTACCACTACTACTACTACTACTACTACTACTACTACTACTACTACTACTACTACTACTTCCATATAGACCACTGCTCTAGTGACTGCCACTGCTACTGAGACAACTACTGCGACGACGACGTTGACGACTACGTTTGCTACTACCGCTAATACTGGTAATACCACTACTACTACTACTACTACTACTACTCCTACTCATACTACTGCTACTACTACTTCTACTACTACTACTACTACTACTACTACTACGACTGCTCCTACTGGTACTACTACTACTACTACTACTACTACTACTACTACTACTACTTCTGCTACTACTGCTACTACTGTTACTACTACTACTACTACTACTACCACTACTAATTCTACTACGACGGCTACTGCGACTGCTACTGCTACTGCTACTGGTACTGCTACTGCTAGTGCTATTACTCCTCATGTTTCTGCGACTACTACTACTACTACTACTACTACTACTACTACTATAACTACTTCTACTGCAACTAGAACTACTACTACTACTACTACTACTACAACTGTAACTACTAATACTACAACTATACCTACTACAACTATAACTACTACTACTAATACTGCTACTACTACTACTACTACTGCTACTACTACTACTACTACTACTACTACTACTACTACTACTACTACTACTACTACTACTACTACTACTACTACTACTACTACTACTACTACTACTACTACTACTACTACTACTACTACTACTACTACTACTACTACTACGACTACTACTACTACTACTACTACTACTACTACTACTACTACTACTGCTACTACTACTACTACTACTACTACTACTACTACTACTACTACTACTACTACTACTACTACTACGAGGGGCCCGAACGACTTGCACCAGGACGAGGTGCCCGAACGCCTCACACCACGAGGAGCCCGAACGACTCACACCAGGACGAGGGGCCCGAACGACTCACACCACGAAGAGCCCGAACGACTCACACCAGAAGGAGGGGCCCGAACGACTCACACCAGGACGAGGCGCCCGAACGACTCACACCACGAGGAGCCCGAACGACTCACACCACGAGGAGCCCGAACGACTCACACCAGGACGAGGGCCCCGAACGACTCACACCACGAGGAGCCCGAACGAGTCACACCAGGAGGAGGGGCCCGAACGACTCACACCAGGACGAGGGGCCCGAACAACTCACACCACGAGAAGCCCGAACGACTCACACCAGGACGAAGAGCCCGAACGACTCACACCACGAAGAGCACGAACGACTCACACCAAGAAGAAGGGCCCGAACGACTCACACCAGGACGAGAGGCCCGAACGACTCGAAGCACGAGAAGCCCGAACGGCTCACACCAGGACGAGGGGCCCGAACGACTCACACCACGACGAGCCCGAACGACTCACACCAGGAAGAGGGGCCCGAAGGACTCACACCAGGACGATGGGGCCGAACGACTCACACCACGAGGGGCCCCAACGACTCCCACCAGTCGCCGTCGTCGTCGTCGTCGTCGTCGTCGTCGTCGTCGCCGCCGCCTTCGTCGTCGTCGTCGTCGTCGTCGTCGTCGTCGTCGTCGTCGTCGTCGTCGCGGTTGGGGTCGTCGTCGTCGTTGCGGTCGATATCGTCGTCGTCGTCGGGTGCGTCGTCGATGTTTCGATCATCGCTGTGGTCGTCGTCTCCGCGAAATCCCTCTTGCCTCCCACCGCTTTCTCTCCCTCCTCCTCCGCCTCGTCCTTCTCCCGCTCCCACCACAAGGAGGATGTATAAGGAGGCGGGAGGAAGGAGGAACAGGGGAGATATGCGGGGGGAAGCGGACACACGCCTGAAAAACACGACTGTCGGCATGCTTCGCAAGAGTTGCTGTTTTGAGATGGGCTGGTGGGGATACGCGAAGCGTAAAGAATTCAAGAACCGTGTTCTCGCCTCAATGCCGCCTACATGTTTGCTCCAGACGGCCACAGCCCCTGGCATAAATACACCAAGGTGCACATGGCCGCTCATCTCCTGTGCGTGCGCATTGCCAGGGCATCCGCCCGCGGATTCTCTCCACGACGCGAGCATGCCTGGGGAGGGCGCCGCGGAGCAGCCTCCGGGTCCAGCAGCCGCTCCATCGGCACCACCCGCGCGCCAGACACCTCGTGGTGCACCGGCGGAGGCTTGCTGGGGACCTCTGCGCGGCGCTCACCGGCAGCAGCGCGCGACGTCGTCGCCGTCGCGGTCGTCGCCGTCGTCGCCGTCTCGCTGCGCTGAGAGACGCGGCCCGCGGCACGGCCCGCTGGCGCGCGGGCGCGGCGAGAGGCCGAGGTCGAGCCCAGTGTGCTCGGACGCGTAGCAGAGCCAAGCGCCAGCGCACGCAGAGCCAAGCGCCAACTTTTAGCGCAGAGACGAGAGCGGGGGCCGAGCGAGGGCCCGAGCAACAACGGACGGGCGAGGGCCACAGAAGGCAAACTTGAACGAGAAACGGTGGCCCCTGCCCCCGCCGCCGCCGCCGCCTCCTCCTCATCCTTCTCATCCTCTTCCCTCTCCTCCTCCTCCTCCTTCTCCTCCTCCTCCTCCTTCTCCTCCTCCTTCTCCTCCTCCTCCGCCGCATCCTCCTCCTCCTCATCATCCTCCTCCTCCTCCTACGCCTCCTCCTCCTCCTCCTCCTCCTCCTCCACCTCCTCCTCCTCCCTCTGCTCATCCTGCACAACGATGTAGTGCCGAAGTCGGCGGTGGCAGTAGTAAGGGTGCTGTCGGCGGGGAGGGGCTCGTGCTGCACAGGAGGCGTTTGGCATTGGGGGGGGCCTGGGGCGAGGCGAGGATGAAGAGGATGGGAGACAAAGGGGCGGGCGAGAGAGGAGCAGAACCAGCGGTAGAAGAGGAAGCAAGGAGGATGGAGAGGGGACCTGGCCAAAAGGAAGACCCAGGATCCGTAGTACGGGGCAAGCGATTTGTAGCAAGAAACTACGAATGCCGACAACAACCAGGACCGCTGCAAACATCATCCTGCAGTGCGGATAATCATCAAAAACAAAGAAGCTTTGTCCCAGGATCTTCGGGGAAGGTCGGACCCCTCCTGGGGCGAACTGAGATTCATCTTCGCCTTCCCGCGCGCTGCGAGGAAGAAAAAACCGCCGATTGAAACACAAAATGCGAATGGGTCTGCCGACCCCTGACTGGGAGTCCAAGGGGCAGCGCAAGCCCGTGCCAGAAGGCACGGGTAGGCGGTAGGCATCCTGACATGACTTCTGGCCGTTGTGCTGTGAGGGCCGACGCTTTTCACCCGACGCGCGGCGGAGGGACGCAGACCGGGCGAAGAACCGAGGCCGAACGCGCGAAGGGACCGGTCGAGCTCGCTCTGCTGGTAGTGTTAGGTCGGGCATGTCCCCCTGCAGGCAGACTGTGGAAAAGGAACATCAAGCAGATTCAAATCAAACTGAAACATAATCAACAGAGCGCGACAAATCGCCACTGCATGATTTTTACTATTCTTAACGAGTAGACTTCTGGGGGGTTCCCGACCTGATCTGACCCTCCTCTTTCTCCTCTCCTGACCCGTCTCCTCCTCCTCCTCCTCCTCCTCCTCCTCCTCCTCCTCCTCCTCTTCCTCCTCCTCCCTCTCTCCTCTTCTCGCAGCTCTCTGCTACCCAGGCATGCGACGCCTTGCTGTTTCAGCACGGTGCCCCCAGAAACCCGGACACTTTCCACAGGGCCGGTTTTGCACCCCGAGCCGTTTCTTGACGGCCCTGGGGCCCCGCGAGGGCCTCCGGAGGCCGCACATGACACCAAAAACCTCCCGTCGTGATCTCCGCGACGCGAGCACGTGAGACCCTGTCCGATCTTCCATCCTCGACCCTCCGGCCATCCTCGACCTGACCACTCCCCTCCCCCTCTCCCCCCGGGGCCCGCGGCAGCGCGCGCGCGCGCTGGCTCCGTCGCGCGTGGGGGGGGGAGGGGGCGGGGGGGGGGCGGGGAGGGCGCAGCGGGAGGCGCAGGGCGGGGAGGGGGAGGCAGACGACATGAGCCGACGACGACGACGCGGTAACGCAGCGGAAAAAGGTCAAGGCCGAAGCCGAAGGGCAAAGACGACGCCAAACGACGTCCAGAAGCGACGGCAAAGGAGAAACGAACGGCGAAGACGATGGTGCATGGCATTGAAGGGGCGGCGAGAGCCAGGAGCCGAAGGCCAGTGAGTGGGAGAGGTGGCCGAAGGCTAGGGAGCCTGCGGACGACGAACATGACGGCGAAGGACGGCGAAGGGGCGGCGGAAGCCAGAAGCCGCATGCCAGAGGGAGGGGGGGGGGACCCAAGACGAAGCCAGGACGAGGATACATTCCGGTGAGGATGCATCGAGTACCTCTGAGATCCGGCGGCTCTGGAGGCTGTCTCGGGCGCCGCGGCCTTCTCAGAGCGCTCCGCGAGCGCTCCGAGAGCGCTCCGCGAACGCTCTCGGAGTCCTCCTCGTCCCGCAGCCCCGTCCGACCCTCTCGCGCCGCTGCCGCCCGTTGGGCGGCAGCTGCCTGGGAGGCCTCCCTCGGCGGGGCTCCCGAGGACGGCGCGCCCCACTCGGCGGGCCTCGCCCTGGAGCCACGCCCGAGGACTGGAGGCACAGGGAGCCCACGGGGAGGCCAGGGCGCCGCGCGCCCCAGGGGGCCGCCCCGAGAGGAAGGTCCGGGGAGGACTGGGGGCCACACTCCTCCTCCTCCTCCTCCTCCTCCTCCTCCTCCTCCTATCCTCCTCCTCTCCTCCTCCTCTCCTCTCCCTCCTCTCCCTCTCCTCCTCTCCTCCTCTCCTCCTCCTCCTCCTCCTCCTCCTCCCTCCTCCTCCTCTCCTCCTCCTCCACTCCCCCTCCCACCCCCCCCCACCCCCCTCCCCCTCCCCCCCTGTTCCTCCTCCTCCTCCTCCTCCTCCTGCTCCTCCTCCTCCCACCTCCTCCTCCTCCTCCTCCATCCTCCTCCTCCATCTCCTCCTCCTCCACCTCCTCCTCCTCCTCCTCCTCCTCCTCCTCCTCCTCCTCCTCCTCCTCCTCCCCCGGGGCCCGGCTCTGCCTCCTGAGTCGGTTTGTTGACGGTCCTGGGATGTCATGTCCTGGGGCCCCGCGAGGGCCCCCCCGGAGGCCGAAGACGGCGAAACACCTCCGACGCGTCCGTTTGTGTCAAGGCGCTCGAGGCCTGGGGAGCGGAGCGAGGAGCTTCTCTGATCTGAAGGGGCCCTGGGCCACAGGAAGAGATACGCACAAATAACAGGACTCACCCTATTTTCCCATCTTTTCTGGGTTTTTGTCCAGGACTGGACCTAAACGGTGTTTGAAAACGAAATCGACACGAAAACGGCCCACGAAATCGCCCAAACACCGTTTCGGTTCAGCCCTGTTTTTTGTTGTCCCCCCCCCCACTTGCCATATTTTCCCATATTTTCCTGGGAATCGACGCGTCCGTTTGTGTCAAGGCGCTCGAGGCCTGGGAAGCGGAGCGAGGAGCTTCTCTGAAGGGGCCCTGGGCCACAGAAAGAGATACGCACAGATAACAGGATCCACCCCATGTTCCCATCTTCTCTGGGTTTCTGTCTTCCCCCCCCCCCTTGCCATATATGTTCCCATCTTTTCCTGGGGGTCGACGATGAATTGCGTCTGTGTGCTTTTTTGCCCTCCTGGCGGTCGCCGGCCGCGGCGCCGAGGTCCTCCGGCAGGGTGAAGAGCACGGCCCTGCGGGCCCTGCCGGCACCGAGGCCGGTGGCGCGGGACTGGAACTGCAGCTCGCCCAGGCGCGTGGCCTGCGCTCGGGCGCAGGGCCTCCTCCTCCTCCTCCTCCTCCTCCTCCTCCTCCTGCTCCTCCTCCTCCCCCCCCCTCGTCCTCCTCCTCCCCCTCCTCCTCCTCCTCCTCCTCCCTCCTCCCTCTCCTCCTCCTCCTCCTCTCCTCCTCCCTCCTCCTCCCTCGTTCCTCCTCCTCCTGGACGGCACGGCCAGCGACCGGCGGAGGAGACGACGAGCGGCGCGAGGCCCGGCCTCCTCGGGTCGTGAGAGGCCCCGGGATCCTGGCGTCTCCACCTTTTCGAGCCGGGCGTGTTCGCTTCCTTTTACCAGCCTGGAACGTATCCCTATCCCTGCTGGGCACCTCCTCATCACGATGCCAATCGTAGGGGTTCCCTCATGTTTTCAGGGCGCATCCCGAAGATGGTCATCGCCGTTTGGCGTGTCAATCTCTTAGGGATAGGGATCAGTTCGAGGCTGGTAAAGAAGCCGCTTGTGGCCCCCCCTACACGGACACCAGACCTGCTCGCGTGGTAACAGAACTCATGGCAGGAAATTGTGTGACAGTTCTCCGACCTCCAGGGGGCCCTCGCCGGACCCCTGGGGCGTGTCAATCTTGGGGGTAGGGATAAGTTCGAGGCCGGTAAGGAAGCCGCTTGTGGCACCCCCTACACGGACACCAGACCTGCTCGCGTGGTAACAGAACTCATGGCAGGAAATTGTGTGACAGTTCTCCGACCTCCAGGGGGCCCTCGCCGGACCCCTGGGGCCGTCAAGAAATGCTTCGGGGTGAGAAGTCGCGTCAAAGTGTAACGTCCGCATCCAATTCGGAAGGAGTAATTATACACCACGCCCAGCCTCTGGAGAGGGTGGCCAGGCAGGGGTGGGCTCGCTAATTATGTTGCTGCCCAAGCTGCGGGGAACGAGAAGTCGGGATGCACCCCCTATGAGGTCTTCGCGGGAACGATGTATCCATCCCGGTTGAGGGGATGCCGATCCAAATAAAGCCAGACAAGCCCCTATACTCAGCTGGATTGCGCTGGAATGCGCTGGTGGGGCTAGACCAGAAGTAGGGCGGTGTTCGACACCGGATATACCAGCGCCGGTGCTGAGCTCAACCCCATCAGAACTGCCACCGATCATCGGATACAGATCACCACAACCCTCTCCCCGCCGACCGCAGCACGACCACGAAGCAGACGCACGTGCAATTGCCAAGATCGTGGCACGCGCGTGTACACCCGACTGCCACCTGCCCCCTCAGTCGAGCGCACCTGCACGACCCTGACACGCTCAGCCTTCACCGCCCAAATCCGCACCTCCCCCGAGGGCGCGCTCTGACCAGAAGTCCGCGGCGAATCCGGCCGCGGCGGCGACGGCCCACAACGGGGCCCCGACGCGGGCGAGAACCGAGGGAACGGCATCGCCGTCGGTGCGTCTGCCCGCCCCCGGGCAAGCGTCCGTTCGAGATCCGTCTCCCGCCGGCTCTGACTGCAACAGGATGCCTGATGTCCTCGAAGCAGTAAAGAAGGAAAGCACTATAGCTGAAAGAAGGCGCCGACAAGCGCATGCTTGTGGAGAGGATGCAGAGCGCGACCCCTCCCGCAGTCCATCCTCGCAGGGTGCCCGAGCCGCACGCAGCCGCGGCGTCGAGGGGCCTCCGGAGACGCCCGTGCACCTTCAAAAAAGGACACGTCGTCCGGCCCGCACGCTCCCGGCGCCGGCTTTCCGAGCCGGAACCCAGCCGCAGCGAACTGCGCCCCCCAGAAAATGCTTCGGAAAGCCTTCCAGACCACGTCGTCGTCGGCCTGCGCGCCTCCAGGAGGCTTCCGAAGAGGCTTCCAAAGCAGTTCCAGAGACGCTCGGAAAACACAGACGCGTTTTCCCGGCCATCCTGTGGTGTTGGGTCCTCGTTTTGAAGAGACAGCGCCTCGCGTTCTCCATCCTCCTCTTTCCTCCCCCTCCTCCCTCCTCCTTCCTTCCGTCCCTGCCTCTGCCTCTCCTCTCCGCGAGCCGTCATCACTATCATGATCGTAATCTTCATCATGATCACCATCGCCATCATCGGCGTTATCAACACCGCCATCTTCAGCGTCGTGCCTCTGTTCTCCGCGTGTCCATTTCGGCACACCCCTCACACGTTCCCTGGCCCCAGAGGGGACTCCACCGAAGGCTCCAGTGACAACGCCCGCATGCAGATCCACTCCTCATTTTGATGCACCCCTCACACGTTTCGTGGGCCAATAGGGAGCTCCACCTAAGGCCCCAGTGGCAGCGCCCACATGCGGTTCCACCCGCCATTCCGGTGCACTCCACACACGGTTCGTAGCCCCATAGGGAGCTCCACCGAGGGCCCCAGTGGCAGCGCCCGCATGCAGGTCCACCCCGAATATCGGTACACCCCTCACGAATAGAGAGCTCCACCTAAGGCGCCAGTGGCAGCGCCCGCGTGCGGTTCCACCCCCTATTTCGGTGCACGCCTCACACGTTTCGCGCCCAAGTGGCAGCGCCCGTATGCAGTTCCTACCCCCCATGTCGGTGCACCCCTCACACGTTCCGTGGCCCCACAGGGAGCTCCACCTAAGGCCCCAGTGGCAGCGCCCGCATGCAGTTCCACCCGCCATTCCAGTGCACCACTCACACGTTTCGTGACCTTAGAGGGAGCTCCACCCAAGGCCCCAATGGCAGCGCCCGCATGCAGTTCCACCCCCATGTCGGCATACCCCTCACATGTTTCGTGGCCCCAGAGAATCTCCACCTAAGGCTCCAGTGGCAGCGCGCGCATGCAGTTCCACCCTCCTTTTCGGCACATCCCTCACACGCTTCGTGGCCCCATGGCGAGCTCCACCTAAGGCTCCAGTGGCAGCGCCCTTACGCAGTTCCACCCGCCATTCCGGTGCACCCTCACGCGCTTCGTGGTCCCATAGGGAGCTCCACCGAAGGCCCCAATGGCAGCGCCCGCATGTAGCTCCACCCTCAACTTCGGCGCACCCCTCACACGCTTCGCGACCCCATGGGGAGCTCCAAGGCAGAGCCCAGTGGCAGCGCCGGCATGCAGTTCCACCCTCCATGTCAGTACACTCCTCACACGTTTCGTAGCCTCATAAGGAGCTCCACCGAAGGCCAGTGGCAGCGCCCGCTTGCGGTTCCGCAGCCCATATCGGTGCACCCCTCACACGTTTCGTGGGCCAATAGGGAGCTCCACTTAAGGCCCCAGTGGCAGCGCCCACATGCGGTTCCACCCTCAATTTCGGTGCACCCCTCAAACATTGCGTGGCAGCATAGGGAGGTCCAGCTAAGGCCCCAGTGGCAGCGTCATTTCGGCGAATCTCTCACACGTTTTGTGGCCCCGTAGGGAACCCCACCGAAGGCCCCAGTTGCAGCGCCCGCATGCGGTTGCAGCGCCTACATGTGGTTTCACCTTCATTTTCCGCGAACCCCTCACACACGTCGTGGCCCCATAGGGAGCTCAATCTACGGCCCCAGTGGCAGCGCCCGCATGGCGGTCCCGCCACATTTCGGCACACTCTTCACGCGCTTCGTGGCCCAAAAAAAATCCACCGACAACAGTACTCACAAGGACGGTACCCACAACTGCAGATGGTTGGGCCCTTCACCAGGCTAAATTTTCAGTCGGCGGCGAGGCGGAGGCAATCCGCACCAGCGTGGGGCGAATCGGGGCAACCGATAGGCCAATTGTCTGGCGTGCAATAGGGAGGACACAAGACGAGGGCGGCCGCGCGAAGTGTGAAGGGGGAGGGCGCTCAGACGTGGCAAACATGTTGTCATCGCTTGGGGGCTCCAGAATCAGAGCGTTCAATCCAGGGTTGCGTGCGATCCTCGAGCCGGAATGGCGGTCTCCGGAAGCCCTGAACCCAAACATGCTGTCATCTCTTGGGCGCTCCAGAGTCAGAGCGTTCAATCCAGGGTTGCGTGCGATCCTCGACCCGAAATGGCGGGTTCTGGAAGCCCTGAACCCGAACATGTTGTCATCTCTTGGGGGCTCCAGAGTCAGAGCGTTCAATCCAGGGTTGCGCACGGTTCTCGAGCCAAACTCACGGGTCCTGGAAACCCTGAACCCAAACATGTTTTCGTCTCTTGGGGCCTCCAGAATCAGAGCGTTCAATCCAGGTTTGCGTGCGGTCCTCGACCCAAAATGGCGGTTTCTAAAAACCCTGAACCCGAACATGTTGTCATCTCTTGGGGGCTCCAGAGTCAGAGCGTTCAATCCAGGGTTGCGTGCGATCCTCGAGGCAAAATGGCAGTTCCTGGAAACCCCAAACCCTAACATGTTGTCATCGCTTGGGGGCTCCAGAATCAGAGCGTTCAATCCAGGGTTGCGTGCGATCCTCGAGCCGGAATGGAGGTCCCTGGAAACCCTGAACCCAAACATGTTGTCATCTCTTGGGGGCCCCAAAGTCAGAGCGTTCAATCCAGGGTTGCGTGCGATCAGCGAGCCAAAATGGCGGTTTCTGGAAACCCTGAACCCGAACATGTTGTCATCTCTTGGGGGCTCTCGAGTCTGGAAGCCGGTGGAGCTCTTATCGTGACTTGGCTATGGACCATGGGCCTCACCCCGACCCTCATCAGATAAGGAATCCTACAGGGTCTGAACCTTAGTGGCTCTTGGAAGCGGCAGGGCATCTTGTTATACCGTCTCCAACTATTTTGATCTCAAGAATGAAAACGGTGACAAAATAACGGCGCGCTGAAACGGGACAAAAGACAGCTCCGGGACTGAAGCTGGAGCTGGGACGGCGAAACATGGCGGCGCCGGAACTGGAACACGAAGACGGCTCCGAAACCGGGAAAGAGGCGGCGGCACGAAAACCGAACACACCGCCCTGCCGTTCTCAAAGACCACTGAGGTCTGAAGCCTCAACGCCCCCTCGCCGTAGCTGAGATGCCACGGGGTCCGCGATGGAGCCCCTGTCGGGGCCTCTCTGGCCATCCTGGGCGCCCCGAGGGCCCCTCTCAGGAGGGAGGCGAGCTCATGCAGCTGCACAGCTCGCCGCGCGCGCGTGCCGTCCTCGGCCCTCGGGTCCTGCACGGCGTCGGAGGGCTCCCGGGCCCAGGCCCTCACGGAAGGGCCCGAGGGGGCTCAATCGGGGATGGACAGACCTCCCTTGAGTAAAACGTGGCTTAGTGAAAACGACCTCGGGCCCAAACCTGGCGGGCGCAAGCCTGGAAAATGACGGCCGCGGCGCCCTCTCGAGCACGGACGATTCACTAATCGACGTGTCACTGTTGGGGGTTCTGCCCACCCCCGACTCAAGATCGACGCCGAGGGAGGGGGGCTCGACTTGGCAGGCGAGGCCCCACTGCCCCACAGGAACCGCCGAGGCCGCCCACTTGAGGCCTGCGAAAGGCGCCCCGGGGGGCCGCCAGGCAGCCTCCGGGAGGCGCCGCCGGGGGGCCGCTGGGAGGCCCCCCCAGAAACCGCCCCGGAGGCGCCAGGTCCTTGAGAGGCCTGCCGTCCGCGACCCGGGCGCGCCGGGTGAGGATCGAGGAAGACAAACGGCATTCACGAGTGAAGAAAAACGGCAAAAAACGGCATACACTTAAAACGTTTTTCTTCCTCGATCCTCGAAAAATCGAGGATCGAGGAAGAAAAACGGCACACACTGCATGAAACTTTCCGAAGTCCGCGCGCACTTTCTACCCCCCCTGGCGGCGTCGCGCTTGGCGCGCCCCGCGCGCCAGGGCAGGGGGGCCCAACGCCGACCCAAGAGATGCGCGCGGACCTGCGAAACTCAAATTGAGGACGAATGGTCGTTCACTGTCACTTGAGTTCCGCAGCGCAGGTTCTGCTTATTTGATTGATCATTTGTTTGTTGATCGTCGTCGTCGTCGTCATCCCACCCGCGACCCGCCCCGCGACCCACTCGAGACAGCCCGAAATCCCACGCGGCGACCCACCCGCGACCCACCCGCACTGCTCTGACGAAACATCGCCGCCTACGGCAGTTTTGTTGTGCAACTGACGAAAAAGTCTGCGCATGCGGCGGGCTCCCTCAGAGCCTCGCAGACTGCCGACGACCCTGCCGCCCCCTTCACTCTTACCCGCAACTGTGGGGTGCTACGTTTACGTTTCCATCTGCTGCTTGTTTTTCCCCCGAGGGATGGGCCGAAGGCCATTGCATCCGCCGCAACCCGTGGCCTGCCGGAGGGGTACCCGATTGTGGGACGGCGACTTTTGGCCGCTCCCAGAGACTCCTGGTGGCCAGCTGCCAGTCCCGCAGCTGACACGGCTTGCACCGCACAGCTTGCACCCAAAAATCTACACCTGATATCTTCGACCACTGATCTAGCACCGCACACCCGCACCACGTGCCTTGCAGCGCATAGTTTACACCGCATAGCGTACACCACAAAACTTGCACCACATGACTTGTACCACACAGCTTGCATCTCATAGGTTACACCACATAGGTTCTATGTTCTAGCAATAGAACAAACTCTACCCCCTGGGGATTACCGACCCCCTTTTCGTATTGCAAATTACGTGCGGCTCCGCGCCACTGTCCATCCTAAGTATGAATTCGCATTACCCTCCGCAAAAATACTATGCGCGCACTCGTTTAGCAACAATCAACCATTTCCAAGAATTCGTTGCAACAAAAACAAAACGAAGTGCACACACGCGCGTCGTCGCGCGCGCATGCCGAAATCCTTCAACCACCATCGGTTTCGTAGAGATGTCAGAATCGGGTGTCCAAAACACAAATTACAAACACACGGTTTTGCAACATGGGTTTTCAAAGAAAGCTTGCCCGAACGCCCCTGCGATTAAAAAACATGCGTGTTTCAAACACGTTCGGGACATGCTACCAAACGGGTTTCGCGCGCGCATGCCGAAATCGTTCGAACGCTCTTGCGCGCGGGCCGTCGCGAAAATATGTTGCAACAAATGAAACGAAGTGCACCCGCGAGCGTCGTCGCGTGCGGATGCCGAAATCCGTAATCCAAAAAACTTTCGATTTCGTAGCGATATCCAAGACGATTGTCCAACAAACGTCTGAACACAAATGGTTTCGCAACATCAATCTTCAATGAAGCCTTGCGCTTTCAACATTCACATTGAATTCTGCCAACCGGGCCTCTGGCGCCGCATGCCAACATCATTCACACGCCCGTGCGCGCGTGCTGGGGAGGCACGATCCGTGTCAATCAACGACTTTTGTGCCACTCTCGCGCTCGGCTGCGCGCGCATGTCAATCTCTTTCCAAAGCCTTCACCACCGACGCGAGGACGCCGTCATCGTCGTCGGCGTGATCAGCATCGGCGCCTTCACTGGCCGCGCCGCCGTCGTTGTCAACATCGTCACCAACATCGCTACTATCACCATCGTGTCTACCGTTGCCGACGTTGCCATGATATCGCGCCCGCCCAAATCGCCGACTCGCAGTGAAGTGCCCGGTGGGATGTGCCCAGCGGTCAGCGCCACTGCGGCCGCGTCGGTCGCGCCAAACTAGCTGGCCGCTGTGCGCATGCTTGGGTTCGCACGGCCGCAAAGATGCACCAGCCAACGCCAAGCATTCATCGCAATCGCCACCGCATGGGTTTTGCAAACCAAGTTGCGGGTGGGGTGGGTGGGCTATTGACAAGAGCATGGGATGTGGGTGGGTTGTTTACAAGCGCATGGGATGTGACAACTCGTTTGTAAAAAACAATTCTCCTTTCTAACAGATTTTAAAAAAAATCCCCCCCCCCTCCCCCCCGGACATATCGGTTCCCCCTGGGAAAATATGATTTCATCGGAGGTGAGGGGGTGAGATCGAAGTGGAACGGCGAGCCCCCCTACCGGGAAATCGGTTTCGGTTTCGTGTTCGTGCGTGCCGTGCGTGCGAGGCGAAGCTGCGTGGGCGGGCGAGAGAAAGTCTCCTGTGGCTGAGGCGCGGCCGGGCCAAATGACTCCCTTCCGGGCGGCCGATGGCCCGCGGTGTCCCGCCGGTGTCCCGCTGGTGTCCCGTGTGGCTGAGGCGCGGCCGGACCAAATGACTCCCTTCCGGGCGGCCGGGGGCCCGCGGTGTCCCGCCGGTGTCCCGTCGGTGCCCCGTCGGTGTCCCGATAATGATGATGTTGATGATGATCATGATGGTTGTGTTGATGGTGATGATGATGACGATGATGGTGTCCTGGTGATGATGATGATGTTGATGATGATGAGATGACGATGATGTTGAAGTTCTGCCCGTTGTTGTTGATGATGAGGTTGGTAATGCTGATGCTGCTGATGATGATTATGGTACCCCGATGATGATGATTATGACGGTGGTGATGATGATGGTGATGGTGATGGTGTACCGATGATGATATTGATGATAATGTTGGTGATGATGATGCTGCTGATGATGATGGTGTCCCGATGATGTTGATGATGCTGTTGATGATGATGATGAGTTGATGATGATGATGGTGCCCCGATGTTGTTGATGATGTTGACGATGACAACGATGGTGACCATGATGGTGTCCCGATGATGATGATGGTGCTGATGGTGATGATGGCGATGGCTGTGTCCCGCTGGTGATGTTGATGATGTTGTTGATGATGATGATGATGATATGACGATGATGTTGATGTTTTTGCCCGTTGTTGTTGATGATGATGTTGGTAATGATGATGCTGCTGATGATGATTATGGTACCCCGATGATGATGATTATGACGGTGGTGATGATGATGGTGATGGTGATGGTGTACCAGAGATGATATTGATGATGATGTTGGTGACGATGGTGCTGCTGATGATGATGGTGTCCCGATGATGTTGATGATGCTGTTGATTATGATGATGATGATGATGATGATTAAATGATGATGATGATGGTGTCCCGATGTTGTTGATGATGTTGGCGATGACAATGATGGTGACCATGACGGTGTCCCGATGATGATGATGATGCCGATGGTGATGATGACGAAGGCTGTGTGCCGATGATGATGATGATGATGTTGCTGACTATGATGAGATGATGATGGGGATGATGATGATGGCCTGATGATGATGGCGTTGATGATGATGATGACGATGATGATGATGACGACAGTGTCCCGATGACGATGAAAATGATGGTGTTGGTGATGATGAGGGTGATGACGTTGAATGTTAGATCGATTGTGATATCGGTAGTGAGATCGATCGTGAGACCGAATGTGAGATCGATTGTGAGATCGATAATCAGATCAATTGTGAGACCGAGCGAATGAGATATATCGAGTGAGATCGATTGTGAGATCGATCGAGTGAGATCGATCGAGCGAGACCGATAGTGAGATGGATAGTGAGACCGATCGAATGAGACGCTGCATCCTCCCCCCCCCCGAACCTCCTTATCCCCCGAAGGGTGGTCGTATAAGAATATATATATATATATATATATATATATATATTCTGCACACTCGTCCATCCTAAATATGAAATCATACCATCCCAGCCAAACCGGGTTCCCCCCCTAGGGCTCCCTTGTAGAAAACACTATGCGGTGACATGTTTAGTTTTAACATAACACGTTTTCGTGAATCCCTTGCAGCAAATGGGACGAAGTGCGCACGCGCGCGTCGTCGCGCGCGCATGCCGAAATCCTTCAAAAACCTTCGGTGCCGGAAGGATTTCGCAATCGAGTTCCCCAAAAACATGCAAAAACACAGGGTTTCGCAACACTGATTAGCTAAACAAGCTTACGCGCGAGCTCTTGCGAAATCTTACGAAAAAATAGGTTTTTCAAGATTTTCACAACATGCTACCAAACGGGCGTCGCGCGCGCGCATGTCGAAATCTGTCGAACGCCCTTGCGCGTGTGCCGTCGCGAGAATCCTCTGCAAAAAACGAGACGAAGTGCAGACGCGCGCGTCGTCGCGCGCGTATGCCGAAATCCTTCAAAACCCATCGGTTTCGGAAGGATTTCAAAATCGTGCGTCCAAAAAACCTACAAAAACACAAGGTTTCGCAACACGGATTTTCAACAAAAGCGTGCGCGCGCGCTCTTGCGGCGTCGTCGTCGTCGTCGCCGTCCTCCCTCCTCCCGCGTCGTCGTCGTCGTCGTCGCCTACGTCGTCCTCTGTCTTTCCTCGTGTTCGTCGTCGTCGTCCTCTTTGGCGTCGTGGTCGTTTCCGTCGTCGTTGTCGCCGTGGTCGTCCTTCCTCCTCCTCCCTCGTCGTCGTCGTCGTCCGTCGTCGGCGTCTCGTCGTCGTCCCTTCTATTTCGTCGCCGTCGTCGTCGTCGTCGTTGTCGTCGTCGTCGTTTCCCTCCTCCCTCGTCGTTGTCGTCGTCGGCGTCGCCGTCCTTCCTCCTTCTTCGTCGTTCGCGTCGTCGCCGTCCTCCCTCCTCCCTCGTCGTTGTCGTCGTTGTCGCCGTCCTCCTCCCTCCTCCCTCGTCGTCGTCTTCGTTGGCGACGTCGTCGTCGTCTTCGTCGTCGTCGTCGGCGTCGGCGTCGTCGTCCTCGTCGTCGACGTCGGCGTCGTCGTCGTCGCCGCCGTCGTCGTCGTCGTCGTCGGCGTCGTTGACGTCGTCGTCGTGGTCGTCGGTGTCGTCGTTGTCGTCGTCGGCGTCGTCATCGTCGTCGTCGTTGTCATCGTCGTCGTCGTCGTCGGCGTCGGCGTCGTCGTCGTAGGTGTCGTCGTCGTCGTCGTCGTTGTCGGCGTCGTCGAAGTCGTTGGAGACGTCGTCGGTGTCGTCGTACTCGTTGTCGGCGTCGCCGTCGTCGTTGTCGCTGTCGTCGTCGGCGTCGCTGTCGTTGCCAAGTGCCATTTGGTACCCACCGTCACGGTCTTAAGAGATTTTGCAAACTAATTTGCGGGTGGGTGGGTGGGATGTTTGCGCGAGCAGTGGAGTGGACAACTCACTGCGCACAAGAATTAGACTGCACCACATAGCTTGCACCACATAGACACCCACAATATACCAACCTCCCGTTTGGGGTCCACGCTGCCAAACATTGTTGTTCAATCCGCAACCCCTGCGGAGGTCCCAACCCGTCCCCCCAGGGGCAACTTCCTGCCGCCAGTCCTCTATTGACGGCCCGGGGCCTCGCCTCTATTGACGGCCCGGGGCCTCGAACGCGGCAACCCAAACGCAGACCCCGACGTCATGAATGTTTCATAGCGTCGACCCCCAGGAGGTCTCGACCCGTGCCCACCTTCAGCCGAGGCCCGAGGCCCGGGAATAGGGGGCCACATGCGAACCCTACCCCAACCCCCCACGATTTCTGAAGGGGAGGGTGGGGTTCACTTCGCTCTGGAGCTCCCGAGCGAAGTGAACCCCACCCCCCCCTCAAAAATCGTGGGGGGTGGGGGTAGGGCTCGCATGTGGCCCCCCAGGGAAGGACCCGAGGCCCGAGGCCCGGTCAGGGCCGTCCAGGGCGAGCTTGACGGCCCCGAGGCCCGGTGCGGGCCCCCCGCGGCCGCACAGTCACACCCGCGCCCCGCGCCGTGAGTTCTCCACGGCGCGAGGGGGCCCGGAGAGCCGACGGCCCCGATGTGTTCCGTGCGCGGGGCCCCCGGGAGTCTCGACCCAGTCCCCAGGGACGGGTTCTTTGGACGCCCGACATGGGTACCGAAAAAATGGGTACAATGCCCAACAACAAATGTTGCCCCAAAAATGGGTATCGAAAAAATGGGTACAATGCCCAACAGATGTTGCCCCAAACCAGCAGCGGCCGCTGTTGGGCAGGCGGCCTCCAGTCTCGAATGCACACAGGCCGCGGCGGCGCGGACAGCGAGTCCTGCTCAACATGAACAGGAACTGCTGTTGGGCATTGTACCCATTCTTTCCATACCCATCTCGGGCGTCCAGAGAGTCGTGGTGTTGCCGGTCCTGAGGCCCGGCGGGGGCCTCGAGAGGCCGAACACGGCGACAGGCCTCCGTCTTGCTCTTGTCGATGCGCTGGCGCTCGGGGGAGCTGGGCAGGCCGAGATATCCGCGAGGAGCACCGCGACGGCAAGAGTACAGGGCAGTTTTTAATACATATGATTTTCTCAAACTTAAAAATATGATTTGAATCCATGAATAACTTACGAATAAAATTATGCATGAACTCATCGTTGTTTTTAATACTCGATCCCTGCATTTTTAATAGATGATCCGCACGCGGAGCATGTATAAAAAAAACGGCAATGTAAGAAACAGCATCGCCGGATACCTCCGGGCAGCGCCGAGGTGGGGCATCCGCTGGAGGGGTCGCCGCCTCCCCTCGAGGCAGTGGGCCCCCCCTGGGACCCCCCGCCCCAGAGCTTCCCGAGGATCCCCAAAGATGCCAGACAAGAACCAAAGTCTGGCCGATCCTGGATCCTTCTGCCTCCTCCTCCTCCCCCTCCTCCTCCTGCTTCTCCTCCTTCTCCTCCTTCTTCCTTCTTCTTCCTTCTCCTCCTCCTCCTCCTCCTCCTCCTCCTCCTCTTCCTCCTCCTCCTCCTCCTCCTCCTCCTCCTCCTCGGCTCTCGATTCCCAGGAGGAACTCGTGCTTCCCGGTGGTGACCCGCTGCCCGACACCTGGGGACCGCTTTCCCTCCAGTGCGGCTCCCCCCCAGCGTCGCCGGGTGCTTGCGCCGCAGGTACCGCAGGAACGCGTCGTAGGAGTGCACGACCTCGAGTGCGGCCGGGGATCGGAGCTGGAGAAGCTCGGAGAAGTCAAGAGGAGGAGGGGGTGGAGACAAGTTCGCTCAAAATCGGTCCCCGGGCTCCTTGGGATCTGAGCTGGAGAAGCTCAGAGAAGTCAAGAAGGGGGGGTGAAGACAAGTTCGCTCAAAAACCTTGGGATCTGATCTGGAGAAGCCCAGAGAAGTCAAGAGGGGGGGTGGAAACAAACTCGCTCGAAAAAAAGACAAGTTCGCTCAAAAAATCGGTCCCCGGGCTCCTCTGGGGGTCGGCCCTGGCCGCGTCATAATCCGTGGCGACGAGGGCCGCTCCCCCCCCAAACTCCCACCCCTTGTGATGGGCGGAGCTCTCCTCGTCCCTCCCCCTATTCTCCCCCCGTCCCGCCCCCTATCCTCTCCTCGTCCCGCCCCCTCTCCTCGTCCCTCCCGCCCCCTCTCCTCGTGCCTCCCTCCCCCTCTCTTGTGATGGGCGGCACCAGTGCTGGGCCACTTCCGCCCCTCAGCAGGCGCCAGGCACCAGGGCGCGAGCTAAACAGAGCTTTCCATGTTCGTCTTGTTTTCTTTGTTGTCCATCGTTCGTGTTGTTTTCTTTGTTGTCCATCGTTCTGCCTTCGCTGCGCCTTTGCTGCAGAACGATATCAACACCCAGGCCCCCGACGTCGTGATCTGTTCATAACGTCGACCCCCAGAGGTCTGGACCCCTTGCCCGCGACCGGTTTTCCTCCTGAATCGTTCTTCACGGTCCTGGGGCCCGGTAAGGGCCCCTAGTAGCCGACAACAGCTGACAAAAATCCAGTCGTGCTTGTGCACGACGCGAGGGGGTCTGTGAACGAACACGGTTCACGAAATCGCCAAATCGCAGTTTAGCACGCGCCCTGCGAACCACGACCCCTGAGATCCGACGTAGCGACAAAATTGCAAGATCGTAACACATCACGCCCAGAGCCCTGGACACCATCTTTCCGCGCCATTTTTGGAGTTGGATCGACCTGCGAGGATCCCAGGGCCCGAAGAGAACCGAAAACGCTCGGCTCGAGAAAATTGAGACGCCAGGATCCTAAAAATCAGGTCGGGCATGTCCCCCTACAGGCGAATTCTGAACGAAAAATTAAAATAATAGAGCAGATCGCACAACAGAGTCGTCCCCATAAAATGTTTTGACTGTTTTTGACTATCCCTCCTGTTGAGGGGCGTGCTTACGCCAAGAATCGGGAGCGGCCAAGAGGGGGGTGTCCAAGGGGGGGGGGTGCAAATCATGACCGGCGGCATGTGCGCGGCCCAGCGGGCGGGCCAGGGACGTAATGAAATAAGAAGAGACGCCATGAGATCTGGGGAAATATCATGGCCCCCGCCATGATACCCACCCACCCCTAGTCATCCCCCCCCCTCTTTTCCGCCCCCGAAGAACAATAAAAATACCAGAACATATCCCATACCATGCTCAAACATACTGAAACAGAGTCGTCCCCATAACATGTTTGGACTGTTTTTGGCTATCCCTCCTGTAGAGGGGCGTGCCCGACTTACGCCAAGAAAATCGGGGACGGCCAAGAGGGGGGTGTCCAAGAGGGGTGTGTGCAAATCATGACCGGCGGCATGTGCGCGGCCCAGCGGGGGGGCCAGGGACGTAACGAAACAAGAAGCGGCGCCAGGAGATCTGAGGAGATATCATGGCCCCCGCCATGCTATCCCCCCCCCCCTAGTCATCACCCCCCTCTTTTCCGCCCCCGATGTAGGGGGGCGCGCCCGACTTACGCCAAGAAAAAGACCTGCCCGTCGAGCTCCCGGCCGGGGAACTCCGCCGCGAAGACGCAGCACGGGCACACGACCCACGGCACGCCCAGCGCCAGCGCGAGGTCCACGCACGCCTTCGGGCACGCCACGCGTCGGCACGGCGGGGGGCGCCGGCGGACGAGCACTTTGTCGGCCCCCGCGGGGCCGACGAGGCGACCGAGCCTCCCTCGGAGAGGAGGAGGGAGAGGAGGAGGAGGAGGAGGAGGAGGAGGAATGCTATGGGAATGCTATGAGAGCGGACCTCTGTCCTCCACAAAATTACCCACAATGGGGTTAGTCTGAACTGCCTGAATCACCCCCTCCTCCCACCGCCCCAAAAACGCGGGGCGGCTCCCGTCGTAGAGCCTGAGCACTCCGAAGCTGTGCTGCACTCACCTGGGCGGCAGGCGGGAGGAGGAGGAGGAGGAGGAGGAGGAGGAGGAGGAGGAGGAGGAGGATCCTTTGGCGGCGCGCACAAGGGGGTAGGGGGAGGGGGGAGGGCTTCTTAGAAGGAGGCTGCTTCTTAGAAGGCGCGGGCCCTACCTCTACAGACAAGGCCGGCGCCTTCTAAGAAGCAGGGGTGCTTCTGAGAAGCCTTCCCCCCTCCCCCTACCCCCCTCTGCGCGTTGCCGAATCCTGGGGGCATCCATTTTTTCCTCGGCGGCGGCCCAGAGGGGGGCATCCAAGGGGAGGGGGGCGCAGATCATGACCAGCGCCACGTTCGCGGCCCAGGGCGGGGGCCAAGGGCGCCTCGAAATGGGAAGGGGCACCGTGAGATCCGGGGAGACATCATGGCCCCCGCCATGATATCCGCCACCCCTAATGCGGGATGACGATTAATAAAACATGGGAGAGAACGATTAAACAAATAGTTCCCTGCTATTTCTGCACAATGTTCTGACTGGAGGAGAACGATTAAAAACGTAGTTTTCCAGCCCGCGGCCGGTTTTTTCTAATCGTCATCCCGGGCGCCGCCGCGTGAGCACGACCCCCGGTCATTTATTAATCCTCATCCTCCATTAGGGGGAGGGGGGAGGGCTTCTTAGAAGGAGGCTGCTTCTTGGAAGGCGCGGGCCTTACATCTGCAGACAAGGCCGGCGCCTTCTAAGAAGCAGGGGTGCTTCTAAGAAGCCCTCCCCCCTCCCCCCACCCCCCTCTGCGCGTTGCCGAATCCTGGGGGCATCCATTTTTTCCTCGGCGGCGGCCCAGAGGGGGGCATCCAAGGGGAGGGGGGCGCAGATCATGACCAGCGCCACGTTCGCGGCCCAGGGCGGGGGCCAAGGGCGCCTCGAAATGGGAAGGGGCACCGTGAGATCTGGGGAGACATCATGGACCCCGCCATGAGATCCGCCCCCCCCTAGTCGTCACCCCCCTCTTGGCCGCCCCCGATTTTCGAGCTGGGCGCTTTCGCTCGATCTCGGGCTCCGGGACCCTCGCAGATGGATGCGGCCCGAATCCATCTGTTTTTTTGGGGGGAGATGGGGGCGCTCAATATGCAACCACAGCTGGCGCCAAAGAGTGGATGCCGCCACATGCCGAAGGCTAGGTGAAAGGTATCGGCATGAGGCCGGCGAGGTAGAACGCGAGCGACCGAAACGAACCAGCTCGAACAATGATGCAGCAAGATGGCGTTCAAGATTCTGGGCGTGATGCTTCACGATGTTGCCGTGTTTTCCCTACGTCGGATCTCGGATCTCAGGGTCGCGTGGCGCTGGGTCGGGCGCAGAGGCCTGGGTTGGGCGCGGAGGCCTGCGACCGCTCGCCACGGGCCCGTCGACGCGCCTCGGGGATCCGCGGACCCTCGTCACTCCGGACCAGGGTCAAACAGGCTTCGCAGGGCCCCACAAGATGGTGCAAGGCCCAGAGCTCTGGCTGACCCCACTCTGCACTGACCCCCGTCGCTTGGGCCCCGAGCGCCGCCCTGCACGCCTGAACCGGCCCTGGCCAGATAGCAGCCATGGGAGTGGAGTCTCTCGGCGGCGGAGGCAGGGGACGGCAGGACGCCCGTGGGGCGAGCGAGAGGGGCCCTCCGCACGCCCCTCCCTGGCTATGCGCGCCACCGTGGGGTCGGCGATCACCCGTCGCTTTCTCACCTCGAGTCGTTCCCTGACGGTCCCAAAGCCTGGTAAGGGCCCCCAGAGGCTGGAAATTGCCTTCCCCCCTTCCCCTCTCCCCCTACCCCCCGCTGTGCGCGGCCGACAAAGGGGAGGCCAGGACTCTTCGCCAACTCTTGACGGAGACGGAGGAGGAAGAGGACGATGGCAGCAGCAGGAGGGGGAGGAGGAGAAGGAAACGGAGACGGAGACGGAGACGGGGACAGAGGAGGAGGAGGAGGAGGAGGAGGAGGAGGTAGGAGGAGGAGGAGAGGAGGAGGAGGAGGAGGACGAGGAGACGGGAGGAGGGGGAGGAGGGGGAGGAAGAGGAGGAGGGAGGAGGAGGAGGAGGAGGAGGAGGAGCAGGAGGGGGAGGAGGAAGAGCACGAGGAGGAGGAGGAGGAGGAGGAGGAGGAGGAGGAGGAGGAGAAGGAGGAGGAGGGAGGAGAAGGAGACGGAGGAGGAGGAGGAAGCCCTCCCAGGGGCGGCCCAGGACAGGCCCGAGACCCATCCGACAGAGCGTGCGGGGCAGCGTGCAATGTCTGCAGCCTCGGGGCCGACACAGATACGCATACATGCATGCATTCATGCATGCATGCATGCATGCATGCATGCATACATGCATGCAGACAGACAGACAGACAGACAGACAGACAGACAGACAGACAGACAGACAGACAGACAGACAGAAATACATACATGCGTACATGCATACAGACAGACAGACAGACAGACAGACAGACAGACAGACACACAGACAGACAGACAGACAGACAGACAGACAAACAGAGACAGACAGACAGACAGACAGACATACGTACATACATACAGACACACATACACATATACACACATACATTTAAAACCCATCCAAGATCCCTCCTCGCAATATTATTACTATCCGCGTTGTCGTGCGGTTCCCTGAAAGACCCGTCCGTTTCAAGTTCAATGAATCTTGAGGGGACAGCCTCCGTCTCCAAGAAGACGCCCTGTACTCAACAGCTTTCGTCTCAAAGACAACACCCAATATTTACCAGGCTCCCGCTGCAAGAGAGAATCCGTAAGGAGTCGATTCACACTCCGAACCGCAAGCCCGCCGCCCGCCCGCCCGCCCGCCGCCCGCCTGCCGTGGAGCATACCCCACCGTACTCAACAGCCTCCGTCTCCAAGACAACACCCTGTAGTCAACAACCTCCGTCTCAAAAATGCAACACCCAGTACTCAACAGGGTTCCGCTGCAAGAGAGACTCTCAAGGAGTCGCCTCAAATCCCGACCCGCCCGACGCCCGCCCGCCCGCCCGCCCGCCACCCGCCCGCCACCCGCCCGCCTTCTCGCCTCGCCGTTCATCACCTCATCATCTTCCTCTCCTTCCACCTCACCCGCCCCACCCGTGTACACGAAGACAAGACTCTCGCCTTGGGACAACAAATAGGTGGATCTTGAATGGACCGATTAAATATCAGAAGGCGCTGCACAAGCCGAACAAACGTTCCTTCGCCCAGCCCAGTCGAACATTCAGAGACTCTGCCACCGAGAAGGTTGAGCCGCACACAAGAACTTCATGTTTACTGGATTTCCCATAGTCCACACGATGAGGATAACGATGAGGCCTGCCACTTGCGCCTTCGGTGGAGCTCCCTATGTGGCCACGAAGCGTCTGAGTGGTGTGCCGAAATGGGGGGTGAAATCGCATACGAACCCTGCCGGCGCGGCCTTCGGTGGAACCCCCTATCGGGCAACGAAGCGCACGAAACGTGTGAGTGGTACGCCGAGGTGAAGGTGGAATCGCATGCGAAGCGTATCACGGTGTGCCGAACTGGGGGTGCATTCACATGCGAACCCTGCCACTGGGGCCTTCGGTGGAGCTCCCCATGGGGCCAGGAAAGGTGAGATGGGGATGCTGACATGGGGGTAGAACCGCATGCGAACCCTGCCACCGCGGCCTTCGGTGAAGCTCCCTAATTGGAGGTACGAAGCGTGTGAAGGATGTGCCGAAATTGCGCCATGTAGGGGTCCGCATGCGAACCCTGCCGCTGCGGGCTTCGGTGGAGCTCACTATGGGGGCACGGAGCGTGCGAGGCGTGTGCCGAAAGGGGAGTGGAACTGCATGCGAACCCTGCCACCGGGGGCTTCGCTGAATCTCCCTATGTGGCCACGAAGCGTCTGAGGGTGTTCTGACATGAAGATGAAACCACATGCGGACCCTGCCATTCAGGCCTTCGGTGCAGCTCCCATGGGGGCACGAAGACCGTGATGGGTGTGCCGCAGTGGGGTGCTGAACCGCATGCGAACCCTGCCACTGGGGCCTTCGGGGGAGCTCCCTGGCCAGGAAGCGTTGGAAGGGTGGAACCGCAGGCGAACCCTGGCACTGGGGCCGGCGGTGAAGTTCCCAATGGAACAAAAACGTGTGAGTGGTGCGCCGGAATGAACATGCCGCATGCTGAGGCAGAGGCAGGGATGGGAGGAGAAAGAGAAAGTCGACGAGGACGCGGGTGGCTCGCTCCTCGCAACGAGGACCCAACACCACAGGATGGTCCGAAACAACTACATAAACGTAAACGTTCGGAACTCCGCGCAGATGTTTTGGATCCGTACTGGGCGCCCATTCCTGCCGTGCCGAATGCGCCAGGGGAAGCGCTGGAGTGGCCGCCAGGGGGGGGCGAGAGCCGATCCAGGAAATGCTCGCAGAGCCCTCATAGTTTTCTGTTTACGCAATTGAGCCTTCCTCCTCCTCCTCCTCCTCCTCCTCCTCCTCCTCTGACTCAGCCCCATTTACCTTGAACCCCAACTACTCCGACACCATCTACTCCGACCCCATCTACTTGATGCATCAACGATGCGGCGCGATCCCCCGACCCCATTTACTCCGACTCCCTCGGGGAGGCCTAGAGCCTCCCCCCCCCCTAGGCCCCTGCCCGACCCTGACGCGCTCCGCCGGGGCCTCCGTCGCCTGGTCCGGGTGGAAGCCGACGACCAGGCGGGCCTCTCGGGTCGGAAGAAAGGTCGGCTACACGCACGAGTCATTCGGGGCAAGACTTACCTTTGGTGCGCGGCTCTGGGGTGCCGAGGGGGGGGGAGCCGGGGGGCGGCAAAGCTGGGAAGGCTCCGAGTTGCGCGCAGACAGCCCCCCAGGTGGTCCCAGCTGGCCTCAACAGGCCCCCGCGGGTGGGATAGCGCCAGCTGGCCTTCACAGGCCCCCCGAATGACCTAGTGCGGTTTGAACAGCCTGGCGCCGCCTCCGGCGGCGCCGCTAGGGCGGGGGGCGTTGAGACCGCTGGTGCCTCTCGGGGGGCCTGTTGGGGCCAGCTGGGGCTACCTGGGGGGGGGGCCATCTGCGCGCAACTCCAAGCCTGAGCAGCCAAACCCAAGCGCCGTGCGCGCGCGCCAATTCTGGGGGGGGAGCCCTGAGGGTCCGCACCAAAGGCCACTCCAACAAAGGGTCACTTTTACGCGCAGCCGAGAAAGGGGGGGGGAAGTAGACAAGGGAAACGACTCGGCCAGGCGAAACTCGGTCAGGCTAAACTCGGCCAGCTGAACTCGGCCAGGCTGAACTCGGCCGGGGCCGAATTCAGCTTGGCCGAGTTCAGCCTGGCTGAAGTCAGCGGGCCGAGGTCAGCCTGGCCGAGTTCAAATGTCCGAAGGCAGCCTGGCCGAATTGTTCCCAGCCGAGTTTAGTTGCTGCCAGTAATCGGGGGGTCACGCAGCTCGCCTTCTTGGCGCCAATGAGCAGTGCGCCGG